CCCCCTGACCACTCCCCGAACCCGCCATGACTGACCAGTCAACTTCTCCCGACCTGGCGCCCCCCCAAAAGGTGTCCGAGTGGCTGGACTTTGTCCTGGGGAAGGCGGACGCGCCGCCGGCCTTCATGACGAGAGACGCCCCGCCGGAGCGCAAGCGCGCCAGGCGCCGCCCCGACGAGGAAGACGAGGAGGCGCCAGGCCCCCTGGTGCGGGAGGCGAGGAGGCTGACGGGGCGGGGTGGCGGCCGATGGGCTGCCTTGCTGGCTGGCTGGCGGGCGGTGCCCTTTTGGGGGCACAGTGGTGGTCGCAGAGGTCTGCAACCCTGAGCCAGGGTCCTGCTGGTGGGGTTCAGGTTTGAGTGGTCCGCAACTGCACCGGCTGACTGGGCAGACAGCAGCGGCGAACAAATGGTTGGGCCTAGTGTGTGCAGGCAGGCAATCCGCGCCGTCGCGTCTGCCTGCTGCTCCTGGCCTCTGCACCCAACGCGATCCCCCACCACGACCACCACCACCTGCTGTCAATGTTGGCAGGACCCCTTTCTGCAGCAGCAGCAGCTGCAGCAGCAGCCCCTTATGTTCTCCTCCCAGGCCGACGTGGCGGCCGCAGCGGGCGGCGCGCCCGGTGCGTTCGCAGGCGCGGGCGGCCCAGGCGGCGTGCCGCGTCTCAGCCAGCAGCAGGCGGGCCTCGCCCCCACCGGCAGTGTGTTTGTGGCCGGACCGGGCGCCGCGCCGCGCCCTGCGCAGCAGGCGCTTGCCTCGCAGCAGCAGCAGCAGCAGCAGCAGCAGCAGCAGCAGCAGCAGCAGCAGCAGCAGCAGCAGCAGCAGCAGCAGCAGCAGCAGCAGCAGCAGCAGCAGCAGCAGCAGCAGCAGCAGCAGCATCCGCAGCAGCACCCCAACACCGCCGCCGCGTTCGCCGGGACGAGCCTGCTGTTCGGCGGCCCCAGCGCCGCTGCTGCGGCGGGCCTGGCGTCTGAGCTGGAGGCCATCTTTGCTTCGGACCCCGAGACCTGCCGCTGGGTCACCGCGGTGCCGAGTGACGCTGAGGTGCGCGCCTTCAGGGAGTGGGCCGCCCGCCTCCGCCCCTCCGCCGTCGCCGACGCGCCGCCGCCGGGCGCGCCGCCGGGCGGCTGGACGCCGACGGGCGACGCGCTGCGCGTGCTCGCCGAGCTGGCGGGCTACCCGGTAAGCATGCGGCTGCTGATGGTCAGCGGCATCGGCCGCGCGGTGGCCGCGCTGTGCGCGCACGCGCGCGCGCCGGCCGTGCGCGCGGCGGCCGCGCAACTAGCTGCGGCGTGGCGCGGCGCGGCGACGGCGGCGCTGGGGCGCGCGAGCCGCGCACTGAAAGAATGCTACGGGGACGGGGGCGTTGCAGCTGGGGGTCTGGAGTGTGGGGGCGAGTTTGATGGGGTGGATAGCTTATTGGCGGCCGGTGGCAGGCGGGTCCTTTGACCTGGATGACTCAAGTCTGATGACAACGCGGGCTAATGCGGCACATGGCGCGTCATCAGCCAGGGGCCCCAGCTCCCAAGTACACTTAGGACATGGCAAGGGCTTGGCAGTGGGTCGACAGGGTCTATCACTCGCGGAGCGCGCGGCGTGCGCGCACGCGCGCGCCCCGCCGCTGCGGCCGCCGCAGCGGCTGCGTGTGGCCGACGCGGAGCCGGCGTGAAGCTATGCATGCGTGTGCGTGGGCCGAGGAGGTGTTCAAGACTGGGCGCGCATTTTGTTGTTATTGCGCACTGGGCAAAGCGACTGTAGGGTCCACCCCACACGCGCATGCGTCAACTTGGTCCATGCGCGCGCTCACAAGCTGCCACGCTTGTCTGTGTGGGCATGCCGCATGTAATTTGTGTTTTGGGGCATCGATCACAAAAATCATACGCGCAAACAAGAGTGCATGAGCACATCCTGCGTGCGCGTCTGCGTGTGTCGCCTTATCATCTGGTGAAGCTCTGCTGCATCCCTGGCGATTCAGGCTTGGCGGGCCCGCCAGGCCGACGGCGGCACTGCACTGCAGCACTGCGCATTGGCCCTTGGCGAGTAACGCTGCTGCAGCGCGCGCAGCATGAATGGGCGGCAGCACGCAGGGGCACTGACACCCCTGCAATCCGCAGGGCAGCTGGCGGCGATTGTGTGCTCGCCGAGGGAGTGGGGGTGCCGCATCGATGTGCACGGGCCTTCAGCAGTTTTTTTTCTTTTCGGCGCAGCACCCAACCCATTGACTTTTTCAATGAAAAGGGTTCTTTGCAAAATGAGCGAGCGCCTTCAGGTGCTTGGCGGCGAGCCCACGCTTGCGACGGCCCACCTGCACTGCGCATTCCTGCTGTTGGCGCGCAGCTCTTTAGCAAGCGAGCATGCCGACTGGCAGGGGGGCAAGGCGGTTGATAGGGTTGGCTGGCTGCGAGCTGAGGACAGCTGCACAGGGTGTTGCAGATTAGGGAAAAAACATGGCACGGGGTGTCTGCTGCGCACTCCGGCTGCACGTCGAGCAGACAGTGGAGGGGCGGTGTGAGGGGCGCCAGGCGGCCCACCAGCCCCGAGCCCCCACCCACTGCGGTGGGGTGGCCCGCCGCGCGTCCATCTTGAAACGTGTGCTGCTGCTTTGCCTGTTGCATGACGATGCATGGTACGCAACTTCTTTATCTATGCTCTCGCTTGTCAGGGCCGGCAGCGTGGTCCTCGCCCTTCCTTCACGCGGCTTCCTGGGTGTGTGCTGGCGCCCTTGCTGCAAAGTGTCCCAGTGCCTGCCGCAGCCTGCGTCCCCAGACAGCTCGCACGCCGCTTGTGATGTTCGTTGCCGTCTTTCAGCGAGCCAAACACCGCTCCTCTGCCACGCTGTACAATCGTCATTCGCTCGCTAGGCTTGTCATAATCCTGGGTGACATTACCTGTTTCGAGCAACAACGTGCTTGTGAAGGCGACAATAATCACATTTCGTGTTTACAAGGCGAGCGGCCCTGCTCAACCGAGATCGAACGCTGGGATTGGTAGCTGGCCGTCGAGCGGCGCGTTGTACACCAGGTGCGTGCACGCTATACGCCCAATGGCTGATGAGCAGCGCTCAGATATCGGGGGCACTGCTTAGAGCGCTGCACATGCCATATGTTGGCCAGTGCGCCGCGCAACCTGCCCCGTGCTGCGCCTGCTGCTGCTGTTGCCGCACGAAACGGCTGCCTGCCCCCACTCACACGCGTTGCAGACTGCCCTTGAAATCGTGTTGCTCCCAGCCTGACCCGCTTGGCGGGCAGCAAATGCCCCAGCGCGCCCGCGGCGCCCCGGTCACTCCACTCGCCGCGGCGCGCCCGGGCCGCGCGCCAGCGCAGCAGCGTCGCGCCGGCCGCCGCCAGACGGCCGCTGCGGCGGCGCCCTAACGCGGCGGCCTCCAGCCATGGACCGCGCCTCGGGGTCCCACGCCAAGCCGGTCATGCCGCCGGGCGGCGGCCCGCTGGCCCCTCACAGCCACGGCTACAGCGACGGCCTCCAGAGCGCCACCCAGGCGCGCCTGACGCATGCCAACGAGCTCGTCGCAAGTTGTTGGTCCGCCATCGAGGCCATGCGGGAGGGCAAGCTCAAGGCGAAGTCCTTCAAAGAGGAGGGCGGCAAGCTCATGGGCGCCTCGTTCGCCGCGGTGCTGGCCCTGCAGGAGGTGCTCGCAGCTGCCGCCGCGGCAGCTTCCGCGGGCGGCGGCGAGGGCGGCGAGCAGCTCGCGGGGTTCTCGGTCGGCGGCGGCAGCGGCAGCGTGCAGCCGCCGCGCTTTGACAGCATGAACAGCTTCGGAACGAGCGGCAGCAGCGCGACCAGCGGCGGCGGCGGCGGCGGCAAGCGCGCGCCGAGCCTGCTGTTTGTGCTGCGCGTCGGCGCCGAGGTCAGGATCGGGCTCGGCCACGCGGCGTTCATGCTGCAGCACCACGGGCAGGCGTCGTGGACCGAGCTGCTGCTCAGGCCTGGAACCGATGCCCAGATCAAGGCCAAGTTCAAAGAGGTGGGCGGGGCACGCGCGGCAGGGCGCGTCCTGAAGAGCTCGGGACAAGACATGGGGAAGGGGCCACAAAATCATGGGGCAGCGGCAGGGCTTGCGAGCGCAGAAGCGCGACTCGAGGGACGCGCTTGGCCTGCGCGGGCCCCCCATCCGCCCCACGCCTGTGCGCGGCCACCCCAGCGCCCGGCGCCGCGCCCAACCCCCCGGCTTCCGACAGGTCACCGCGGAGCTCATCGCCCTGGAGGAGACGCTCTGGTCATCCATTGACCCCGACGCCGCCGCCCACCGCAACCTGCGGGGCTTCAGCTCTCGCCGCGACTCCCTCCTGCAGTCGTCGTCGGTCGCGACTGGCACGGGCAGCTCCGGCGGCGGCGGCGGCAGCCTCGCGATCACGGGCAGCGCGGCCACGGGCGCGAGCAGCCGCGGCGGCAGCGGCGCGGGGACGCCGACGCCGCTGCCGTCGGGGTCCAGCGACCTCCTGCGGCAGCGCCCGGGGACGCCGGGGCCCGCCGTCGCCGCCACGGCCTCGGCGCCGGCCGCGTCCAGCGCGCCGTCCGAGGGCGGCGGCGGCGGCGGCGTCGTCGCCAAGACGGCGCGCATCACGCTGCGGGAGGCGTCGCGTGCGCACGGCAAGGTGGCCGGCCTCATCTTCTTCCCGGACGCAGACGCGTCGGCGCGCCACCCCGGCGGCGGCGGCGACGGCGGCTGCGCGCGCGGCGGCGGCGGGTGCGGCGGGTGCATCGGGTACGTGGCTTGGGCGGAGCAGGGGAACCTGAAGCTTGTCAACCTCACGTCATGCATCGAGCTCGTGATTTCGGGCGCGGGCGAGGGGCTCGTGGCGATGTGCCACGATCCAAGGGGTGAGCCGCGGCAGGGGTTGTGGCTGGGGGGCGCCCAGAGGGGCCAGAGGGGGCCGGGTGGGGCTCCTGCCGGTGGGGGTCAGGAGGGTGCCCAGAAGCTGCCGCATGGCCGGCCGCCAGGGACTCGCCGCGCCCAGCCGGCCGAGCACAGCGTCACCCTGCTTGATCGCCTCTGCTTGCCTGCGCGCTTGCCCACGCGCCGCCGTGCGCAGGCCTGATTTGGGGCGGCCACGAGGACGGTCAGCTGCGCGTGTCGTCGCTCTCTACGTCGTCGGCCGCGGCGCCGCCGCTGCGCGTCGCGCCGGCGTGCACGCACGTGACGGCGCTCGCGGTTGATCCGGGGACAGGCCTGGTTTGGGTTGGGACAGAGGCCGGCACTATCACTGTGGTCAGGTGGGAGGATGTGCGGTGTATGATCGGGCATGGTTTGTGTGATCATGTGTGAGTGTGTTTGCGTGCGTGTGTGTGCGCACACACTTGTGTAGGATGCGCAGTCATTTGACAGTGCTGTCCATTAGCACTCGTTGGGTGGGGGCGAATGCCTGACAGCTGTGACAATCCCAGAGGGGGCTGCTTTGAAGTGATGAGGGCTGGGTTTGTGAACCCAGTTCGTGCCAGCAAGAATGAGGGGAGCTTGCCGGCGTGCGGGGTGATCATTGAAAATATCCACCCATTCTACGCCCGCACACACAGGTTCGTCGCCCCGAGCGCCACCAACAGCACCGGCAGCGGCGGCAGCAGCAGCAGCGCGGGCGCCGGCGGCGGCGGCGGCGGCGGCTGCCGCGCTCTCGGGCGGCTCGAGTTGGAGCGGGTGCTGTACCACCCTGACTACGCGCAGCCGGCGTCATCCTTCGATGGCGATGACGCCCTCCGCGCGACTGGCAGCTCGGAGGTCGCCTCCCGCCGCTGGCCGGCGCCGCCCGCGCCCTGCTTCGTGCGCCGCCACCTCAACCGCATCAGCCGGATTAGTAACGGCGACGACGAGGGCGGCGGGGCGAGCGGCGGCTCCGCCTCGGGCGCTAGGCTGCCCGGCCCCCCCCAGCCGCCGCACTCCGGGCCCGTCGCGGCCGTCGTCGCCGCGGCCGGCCGCGTGTTCACCGCCGGCGGCGGCGGGCGCGCCGGCGCCACCATCTTCGCCTGGGAAAGCGCGCCGCCGCACGCGTGCGCGGGGGCCGCGGGGCGCGAGTCGACGCAGTGGCTGCGGTCGCCGGTCGCGTCCATGGCAGCCATTCGTTGGTCGGAGCTCGCCGGCGCCGGCGGCGGCGCGGGCGGCGCGGAGGTGCACATCATAACGGGCCACGAGAACGGGCAGGTGCGCGGCAGCTGCCGGGGCCCGCGCCGCGTCGCCGCCGGGGCAGGCGTGGCGCAGCGCCCGCTCGGTCGGACGGTGTCCGCCGCGCGGCATCGCGTATGAGGCTTTGACGGCGTGCTATGACCGTTTTGACCGGCCCCGCGCGGCCGGCAGCTCTCGTCTTCTGCTCCCCCCCCTGCGCACCCCTTAGCCCCTCCCATCAAAGCCGGACGCATGTGCTCCCCCACGGCGCGGCCCTCTGACAGGTCCTGATGTGGGACGTGGCCAGCGGGTACCCCCAGCCGGTGCTGGTGCTGTCGCGGGGGCGCGGCCTGGTCAAGGCGCTGGGGGTGCTGCCGGACCTCGGGCTGCTCGCAACGGCGCACAACAACGCCAAGGTGAGCGCACGTGCTATCATGTGTGTGCTCGGGCACGCGTGTTAACGCGGGCGCATGTGCGCGATTGCATGAGGGGTTGGGGCCCGGCATGCGGTCAAAAGCGTGCAGCAGGCCTCCAAAGCCCCTCTCTTTACAGACCCACCCTCCCATCCGTGTCACCCCCCTCTACTGGACCCCTCGCCAACATAATCCCCCCCCCCTTCATGTTCGTCTCAGCCCTTGACCTAAATCC